ACAAGTTGTGCTGGTTTCCCCTGTATTGTGTACTGTCTCACCCTTCACCCAAGATACCACTTATCTATTGCCTGTTTAGTATTCCCCCCCACCCCTCCCATCCCTGGTAACCAACAAAGATTGTTACATTTTGTTTGTGAACGAGGGTATACTAATTTTTGTTAGAAGCCTTCTAGTCCTATTTTGGTTGTTTAACTGTGTATGTAATTATTACTATGAAAATAAAATTACCAAAAATATCTTTCTTTATGTACTGGTTCTTTATGTACTGGTTCTTTATGTACTGGTTCTTTGATTTTGGGCAAGCCAGTTAAGCTCTCTGGTGCTCAGTTTCTTCATAGTGGATAATAACTGGAGAAGATCGAAAGAAATAGTATTTAAAGTATCAGAGTACAGGACCATTGGAGGCTCTCAATATAGTGGTTTCTACTATCAATTACTCCAGTTCTTTTAATTTAAAGTGTTATCATACCTCTAAAAAGAAAATTTTTGATCTTTACTGTGAGTTAAACAGCACAGATCTTTCTTCTTTTATAGTTATTGAAGATCAGTATAAAATTGAATGTTAGGTGTTCTAGAAGGTAGTGGTTTTGTGTTTCTCTTTTTCATATTGTAAAATTTTCTTCATCTAGCTAGCTGAAAATGGTATACTCAGTGTTTATAATAAATTGATGTTTTAAATTAGGTACAACCCAGATGTGGTATTTCTACAAGAAGTTATTCCTCCATACTGTAGCTACCTAAGGAAGAGAGCAAGTAGTTATGAAATTATTACAGGTAACAATTTTACTGTTATTTAAGTGAACTTTTCCTTTGAAAAATCACTGAAAGAGATAAATCAAAGTTAGCCCATTGGAGGATAGAGGAGAAAAAAACACAAAAATGATAAGTTTGTGGAAATAAGCCCAGAGATGGAGGATACTGAAAGAATTATAGGAGAATATTCTGTACAGCTTAATAAGTATGAAAAAGTGACTGAAATGAGTGATTTTTCAGGAGAATATAAATTACTAAATTTGAGACACTGCCTAGCTTTTTGGTGAAATTAAATTGTTAAAAATTTTCAGTGACAATCATATTGTGATTATGCTTTTTAAAACAAGTTTTTCTTTATTAATTCCTTTTGATTTGTTTTGTTGCTGTTTTTTTCCCTAGTTTTTTGCCCTGAATAATTTAGTTTTTTTGATTTTTCAATCTACTTTGTTTTTACTAAGTATATTTATAGTACCACTTTGGCCACATCTCATCATTATCATATATAGTGTTTTCTTTGATTTTCACTCCTCCTTTGGATTTCTTGTTTTCTGAATCTCATGTGTTCTTCCTCCTTGGTTTTCTTCTTCTTTTGTATCGGAGCACATTCTCTAATCACTTTCTAAAAAATAGTACATACAGCATTGTGTGATTAATACCACTGGACTGTTTACACTTGAAAATGGTTTAAAAGGCAAAAAGCACGTGGTTGGTACAGCTTTTGAATCCTAGCGTATTTTAAAATGCCTGCACTCTACTCGCATACTTGGTTGATAGTTGCCTGGGCTTATGTTTCTAGGTAGAAAGTCATTTCCTTCACAATTTTGAAGACATTACTTCAGTGTCTTCTGGTTTCCATTATTGAGTATGGGAAGTCTGATGCTGTTCTTTTGCCACCCCTGACCCCCAAAGCTTTGAGGGTTATCTGTTTAAACCTAGTGTTCTTTAGACCTTTTTTTTTTCTTTTTTTGTGGTGAACACTTGGCAGGGACTTTCAGTCTGTAGGCTTGTGACCTTCAGTACTGGAAAATCCTTTTTTCCTGCCTGCTTGCTTGCCTATCTACTTATCATTTTTCAGGCCTGCTTGCCTTCTTCCTCCCCCCTCCTTTCCTTTCCTTCCTTCTCCCCTCCTCTCCCTCTTTCCTTTTCTTCCTTTCCCCTTCCTCTTTTTCCCTCTCTTCTCTTCCTTTCTCTTTCCCTCCCTCCCTCATAATTTCTTTACTTCACCCCTCCTTCTGGAATTCTTTATCAAACATTAGAACTCCTGGATTGATCCTTTAATTTTCATGTGTTTTCTCTCTTATTTTCCCATCTCTTTGACAATCTGTTCTATTTTCTTGGCGACTGTCTTGACTCTTAGGTATTTTAATTGCCTAGGTCTCCTTTTTACTAAATGTGTTTTTTTAACAGACGCAATACAAGTAGTCCCTGACTTAGGCTAGGGTTCCTTTCTGACCATTCCGTAGTAAGTCGGTTGTGACATAAGTCGAATACCTCTTTTTTTTGTTTGTTTGTTTCATTATTGTCTTTTATTATCAGTATCTTTATAAATCCAATCTTTGTCTTCCGGGGTTGGCATGAGAATGGTAACATCAAATTACATGTTGCAACATTGTATGTAGTACATATTACTAAGATAAAATGTACAAGGGAAAAAAACAGTCCTAACTGGAATATGTCATAAGTCTGGGACTATCTTTATCTTATCTCTTGAGGATATCAGACTTTGTTAGTTTTTTGTTTTAGGTTTTAATCTCTTACCCTGCATTGTTTTCATTTCCTTCTTTTTGTTTGTTTTGGTGGCTCTGATTTATGTTAGGTGTGTTACTTAAATGTGTAGGGGGTCCTCGGCTCTTGGTTCATACTGGAACTCAGACACTAAAAAGCTGGTAACAACTCAGTATCCCTGAGCTGGGCTAGTTAGTGCACCTCATTGCAAGGGATTGATTGCTGTTTATTCGGTTTATTTGGTTGTCAATATGTCAGTACATAGAGGCCTTTAATCTGGGGCCATTCAGTTTCTCTAAATTGTTTAGCTTTCTGTCTGCTAGATATTGGGGCTGGGCCTTCTGTTTGGTTTTCTACCTTCTGGAAGCAGGTCAGAGGAGGGGAGCTGAGGCTCGCTCTATTAGGCAAACTTTAACTTAACCCCTATTTTCAGTTCCATACCTCAGCCCATCCCGATGCACAGCCTCCACCTACACACACACCCCTCAAACAGCTGCTAGTGACTCTTCCTGGAGTCTCTAAAACTCAATTTCTCTATGTATCTCTAGTCTCCAGTTGAATAGAGGGGTGATCACTAGGCTGTATGGGGTTGGGATCTAGACTGGGAGGTGTTTAGACCCACATCCAGACCTTGAACGAGCCCTCTCTGTTCTTAGCCCAGCACCTTACCCCTACCGTTTGTGATACCTTTGTGCTGGAGTGCTAAGTATTTCACAGCTTTTGTGTAACAAATCTGATTGCTTCCTGTTGGTTGTTTTCTGCTACAGGTGTCCAAGTGATTTCCCTCTATTTTTATTACCTAGTTTACCATCTGCTTTCCATTTTCTGAATAACTGTCAGAAGCTTTCATTCACTGCTCCTCTATTTTTATTCTTTATTTCTTGCAGGTTTATACCTTTTTTAGATTTTTTATTCATTTATTATAATTTTTGTGATGCTTCCAGAGTAAGTAGAAGTAAATCCATGTGAGTTTGCATCAGTTCAATTCTCACCCACTCTGTCTTTTCTGGTTTGATATTGACACCCTTAATTATTTTTGTCACTTATGTGAATTTATTCTTATTTTTATATTTCTTTCATTTTTTTTCAGTTGAATTTGAAGAGGGGGCAGGTAAATCTATGAACTCAGCTGGCCATCTTGAACTACTTAATTTAAAGATTTAGATCATTTAAATATCCGTACCTATTTGTTGTAAAGTCTTCAGTAGGGAAAACTGTGATAAATTGAAAATGCCCTAAGCATATTTTCTTTCCCAGCCTAAATTCTTTTCCACAACCATTTCAAGGTAATGGAGAAGGATATTTCACAGCTATCATGTTGAAGAAATCGAGAGTGAAATTAAAAAGCCAAGAGATTATTCCTTTTCCGGGTACCAAAATGATGAGAAACCTTTTGTGTGTGCATGTAAGTAATTTTTAAAAATTGTCTTGTTATAAAAGAATTGACTTTTATAGTTTTTTATGGTTCCATGGTGGTGTCTTTTTACTCCCTACTTACAGATTATTTTAAATAATCTTTGAGAGCCTTGTAAATTTTTCACATAAATTTTACATATAGATAAACTTGTTAAAATAGGATACTTGATCCATTATCTGGTTTCCTAAGAATATTTAATAAGAGTTTGCTAACATTCCACATTTGCTTCTTACAGGAATGTTTTCCTATCTCCTCTGTACATGGTACTGTGTTGAACTCTGTGAGGCCTACAAAAATGATTCAGACATACTCAAATATGTTCTCATAAAGTTTACAGATTAGTAAGAGAAAGATTGTATGTATAGTAACTAAAATAAAAGAGAAGCGTAAGTACCCCAGGAGAGGTATAGGTGATGTGCTTTGGACATTTAGAGAGGGGAGGAGGATGACTTTTAGCCAGAATTGTTTAGTGAATGTTTCATGAAGGAAATGGTATTTGAGTTGGGCTCTGAAAAACAGTTAAGATTAGGATATGGAGAGGTAGAGCAGTCCAGGTGGAGGAACCACTATGACCAAACTTCTGCAAGTTGGAAAAGGCCGGGTATTTACGTGTGTGAATGAGCATTCTATTCAGTTGGGAGTAGAAAACATGAAGGAGGGGTATGGTGTGACAGGAAGTTGGGAAAGTAGGCTGGGTCCAAATTAATAGAAGGGCATGAATGCCCAATGTGAAAGATTTTGGACTTGACTCTGTAGACAATTTGTATAAATAATGACAGGTTTATTATTATTATTAAATGGCATTTGCAGTATTCCTAGTTGCAAGGTGAGAATAACAGCAAGGTTTGAACATTATAGTAGATATGACATTGTGGGTGCCTTAATGTTAAATGGTAAATGACTCATTCATTCGACTTACATTTTTTGAGTACCTATGTAACAGGCTCTTGATAATATAGTAATACATACAAACCAGTTGTCGTTGAGTCAGTTCTGACTCATGGTGACCCCATGTGTGTCAGAGTAGAACTATGTTCCACAGGGTTTTCAGTGGCTCATTTTTTGGAAGTAGATCATCATGCCTTTCTTCTTCTGCCCCTCTGGGTGGACTCCAACCTTTTGGTTAGCAGGTTAGCAGCAGAGTGCATTAACTATTTTAACTGTTTGTACCATCCACAGATTCCATAGTAATAAATAGGAACCTTCTTTGTTTACAAATGGCTCATCTTTGTAGGGGAGAAATAATTATGCTGGAATTCAGTCTGTTGTTGTTTGGTGCCGTCTAGTTGGTTCTGACTCAGCAACCCTACGTACAACAGAACGAAACACTGGGCTATCCTCATAATCATTGTTATGCTTGAGCCCATTGTTGCAGCCACTGTGTCAGTCCATCTTGTAGGTTCTTGCTAAGGAGTCTTCTTTGGGGGTGGGATCAGTACCTTATACTGATTTTGGCCCAGTGAGATGAACACAGTGCTGATTATATAGTTTTGATTTGGTAAATATATACTAATCAATTGAACAGTGTGCTGATTCTGTTATCAAAGTTCAACAATTGTGGTCAGTGAGCAATTTTAACAACTCTAAAATCTATCCTGTTGTAGGTGAGTGTGTCGGGAAATGAACTTTACCTTATGACTTCGCATTTGGAGAGCACCAGAGGGCATGCTAAGGAACGAATCAATCAGTTAAAAGCAGTTCTAAAGAAAATGCAAGAAGCTCCAGAGTCAGATACAGTTATATTTGCAGGAGATACAAATTTAAGGGATCAAGAAGTGAGTGACAGACTTCAATGAAGATTGTTGCTGTGGAAACGAACTTGGTTCCTTTGACTAAAGCCATTAAAACTAGGACCTTCATTTATTCAACATCTATAAGTGCCCTGCAAATGCAATTCAGCAGATATTTAGTTATTCTGTGCTATATGCCTAGTACTGGGGAAGCAGGTGCCAGAGGGGCTTCTGCATTCCTGGGGAAAAATGTAAATACCACGTATGAAACAGACAACACAAAGCATTGTATGCTGGATTAGCAAGAGAGGTATCGAGAAAATAATGACTAGAAGAGTTCAGTTTGTTTGCAGTATTCCTAGTTGCAAGGTGTGAATAACAGCAAGGTTTGACCATTATAGTAGACCCTCTCTTCCTTTTGAGGTTCTTTTTTTTTTGTGTGTGTCTTTACCTTCCTTTTCCTGTCACTACTGTGCCCAGGTCTGAAACAAAGTCTCTTTCCCCTTAGTTCAGTTGAGACATGTTGGGATTTTTCAGAAGGACCTTTATAGATTTAGAACATATTGAATGGTGAGGCCTGCTTTGCCTTGTTTCCCCCTCTGTCTGAGCTCACATCAGCTAGTGAATTGAAATAGAGATTCTGTTCATTTTCACTTGGCCGCATGCTCTGGGAGTAGAGAGAGAAGGGAGATGGAAAAGAAAGCATGTCAGGACTTCGTGCTGGAGTGAAGGCAGTGTACCAGATAAAGGAGGTGGTGAACTGCTTCCTCTGATAACTTCATATCTTTGTACATGGATTATTTTTTTAAAAAGATCAAGCTTTCTATTGGACTGTTTGCCAATCAGTGACTTTTTAGCAGCTGTGTTTTTTGGTACCTGTCTTTCTGGCTTCCCTACTTTCAAAAAATCCTGGAGTATGAATGAGAGAGGGACAATTAACATTGTTAGTAAATTTAAAAGAAAAAAAAAAAACACAACAACAACTGAATGGAATTGATATTAGATCATATAAATAGTACACTTTTAAATTTATAGACTAGAGTAGCTGTTGTGCCTTCGTTTTACTTGAGTTCATTTTTTAAAAAACTACTAATAGTAACTGAGGCCATGGGTATTCAACCTTCTGAGTTATCTGACATTCAAAGTTAGGAACCTATTTATGGCATAAGAGAAGGGGCAAATTCCAAACCTCTCTGATTACCTTGATATTTTTATATTGCCTACTTATTACCATATAGCGAAATGATCCTTATAATGCATCCAGTTATTTTGCATTTGTTCATTAAGAAATGATTTTTGACATCTTAATTAGAAATATTGCACTTAGATGCAGTAATAGCAAAGACACTTTCCAAATTAGAGAAAAAAAGACTGAATCTTACAGAGTAGTCTTTGTTTCTCTTTTCAGGTTACCAAATGTGGTGGTTTACCCAACAACATTTTGGATGTCTGGGAGTTTTTGGGCAAACCCGAGCATTGCCGGTATACATGGGATACCCAAATGAACTCTAATCTGGGAATACCCAATACTTGTAAGCTTCGTTTCGATCGAATATTTTTCAGAGCGGCAGCAGAAGAGGGCCACATTATTCCCCGAAGTTTGGACCTACTTGGGTTGGAAAAACTGGACTGTGGTAGATTTCCTAGTGATCATTGGGGTCTGCTGTGCAATTTAGATATAATATTGTGAGATGCTTTTCAAATATGAGTTTTAAATGTACTGTGTAGTTCTGTTATGGACTTTTGCAAATATAATTTGTACCTGTCTGGAAAGGTAGGTTTAATATGGATGAATTATTCTTCTGGATCATTGTAACAGAAGAAGAAAAAGACTATGATTTTATTTTGTGAATTCTGTCCTAAGATTTCAGAACTAAATATTAATGTCTACTTAAACTAAGGCATGCCCGTTTTCGGAATAAGAGGCCTCTTAATGAAAGACAAAGCCTGTTGGAGCTTTTAGCAGTGCTCGTATCTGTCAGCTGGATTCCAAGCAGGGGCCAACATTGTCTCCAGGCGAGACTTTACACTTGATATGTTTTTTTAAACAGGAACCAAAAATAGTTAATATTGTAAATAAGTCTTAAAAAAAAAAATGCCATGAGGGATTACTGAGTCCTTGGGACTAGGTCTTTTAATTATATTTGGGAAATTCAGACAATCTTAAATGAAAAAGCCATGATCATCTCTTGACAACAATTCTGCGTCAGACTTTATTTTTGTCAGCTTACAGTGCACAATTGGTAAGCTGTAAATGAAGCCTTATGCTTTAAAATTCCTTGTCCTTTTTTATTCATGTTTATAGTTATCTCACCAACAGAGGCAAAGTTAGGCTTGATAATGATTAAAGTCAGCTTTATAGGAGCACTGGACTGTTTTTCTAAGAGAAAAATAAATGTGTAAAGAGAAATAGCCTTAGTTTTGCTATTTGTAAAATTGAACTATTTTGCAAGAGGTGAATAATGGGTACTTTAAATGTGCTTTAAAGAAATATTTATTTCCACTAGAGGAATCTACTTTAAATAAAGAATTTTACTTGTTTGCAGCCTATTTTAGTAAGTCTTTGTGCCCCGATGGGATTAAAGTTTTTACCTGCTTCCTGTTTTCTGACTCCACTGCTGCTGTTTCGAAGAAAATAGCTTTCCATGTTGCTTCTCACCCTACCAAGAATTACCAAGGATATATTGGCTTCCTCAGTATAGAAAAAGGAAAGCTAATGGAAATAGTTAGAATGAGAAGTGCCAAATTAACAACTAAAACACCTAAAAGAAACAAGCTAAATTTATACACACTTCTTTTGTAGTGACAATTTGAAGGAGTTTTATCTATTAATCATTGTTTTAATCATTAAAAATAAAAAGTGAGAATCACTGCTAATATTTTGGTAACATATCTTATGAAGGTAATAGAATATGCAGTGGTATATTAGATTAAATAATTATCAAATTGTTTTACGAAGTTTGGACCTACTTGGGTTGGAAAAACTGGACTGTGGTAGATTTCCTAGTGATCATTGGGGTCTGCTGTGCAATTTAGGTATAATATTGTGAAATGCTTTTCAAATATGAGTTTTAAATGTACTGTGTAGTTTTGTTATGGACTCTGGCAAATATAATTTGTACCTGTCTGGAAAGGTAGGTTTAATATGGAGGAATTATTCTACTGGATCATTGTAACAGAAGAAGAAAAAGACTATGATTTTATTTTGTGGATTGTGTCCTCAGATTTCAGAACTAAATATTAATGTCTAAAACTAAGGCATGCCCGTTTTCAGAATAAGAGTAAGAATAGGAGTATTTTTTCCTTTGTATGACTCTCAGCATCCTAGTGAAATACTTCCCCATTTACTGCTTATAGTGACAAAATGAAGGATACAATAAGTGAAGTGAATAGGAACAATGAAACTGCTTTTAGTTTGTCTTCCAGGGCAGTAGTTCTCAAACATTGAAATAATTAAAAACCTACTAGTTTGCAATGTCTTCAGTTTTTCACTTTGAATCTTGGAAGTTTTTCTAGTATAGTAGCTTTGCTTACTTACCTAAACTCCTTGGTGAAATTCTACTCGGAACTGAATCTTGTACTTCAATAGACAGCACTTGGATTATGCTGAGCATGCTCTTTGCCACTATAATGTGATATGTGAATTTAAACAAGTAGTTTAGCCTTGTAGACTAAACTACAGTTTCTACCACCTTCAAAATAAGATAATTCTTATTATCTCCATTTATAATTGAGGAAACTGAGGTTTAGCAGGATTATGTGACTTGTCTACGGCCCATTCATCGGTACTGAGTAACCTAGTAGGGTCTTGTCCATTTGGTCTGCGTGACTCAGGCTTAAGCATTGCACTATATATTTTATAGTCGTGGAAATGCACAAGGAATACTCTGGCATCCTCTCCTGACTATGTCACTGCTTTAGCATCTTTATTATAAGAATATAGTAAACCTCCAAGGAAGCGTCTTCCGTATGAGTTATCTATGGTTTATGGTACAGATCACCACCTTCCCCAAGCTGCAAATGTAATCAGAATACACTAGGCACCTAGTTAACCTGCAAAGTATAGAGTTGGTCAGCGCCCCTCCCAGCACAAGTTTCCACTGGCATTCAGAAAGCAGCCTGTGCTCAAAATGGAAAGATAAGCATACAGTAAGGCTCAAAGGGGAGCAATGGTTAAGCGCTGGGCTGTTAACTGAAAGGATGGTGGTTGGAAGCCACACAACCGCAGAAGAAAAACATCTGGCGATCTGCTCCTGTAACGATTTCAACCTAGGAAACCCTATGGAGCAGTTCTCTGTCCTTATAGGGTCGCTATGAGTCGGAATCGACTCAACGGCACACAACAAGAAACAGAGGCCCCCGCTAGAGGAGTGGGACTTGTGTAGCTGGGTGACCTCGCCTCAGGGAACGCATTTGCAAAAGGTCTTTGATTCAGATGGTGCGCCCAGGACTGCCTTGGTGCACTCGGCCAGGCATTTGGAAGCAGCGCTCATCCCCAAGACTGCTTGGCACCACAGTGGTGGGGAAGAAGTTGGTGCAGGAGAGGAGGTGGCAACGTAAAGGCCGCCCTGCTTCCCGAAAGCCTTCTCCTCCTTGGTCACCTGCGAGGTGGGAGTCTTTCGTCCGAAGGCCCATCTTTAGAGCACTTGCTCTGAGCCGGGCTGGAACAGCTGCCAGCGCCCGTCAGCCCCTGGGGGCGTGTGTGCGCGTGCGCGCGCGTAGCCGTGGTAACGGCGGCGGAAAGGCGCTGAATCACAGGTGTGCGCCTTCTCCGCGCCTGCAGAAACTTCCGCGGGACGCGGATGGGGGTTCGGGGTTGCATCTTCGCTTGAATGGTGCTGCCCCTGGCGGGCCCGACTGGTCCGGCGCAGAACTGGGCTCTGGGAAGGTGGCCGCGGTCGCTATCACTGCTAGAGGTAAGAGCGCAGCAGTAGCCTCAGCCTATCTCGGGTTTGGGCAAGAGTCTGTCCTCTGGGGCCAGGTCCCAGGGAAGAAAAAGCGAACGTTTTCCTCGGATGGGGCGGTACCTCCTCTATGACAGAAGGTGCGTGCGAGTGTGTGTATGTTTGTCTGTTTGTAAGGCCGGGAGATGAAGAAGAGGAGCAGGTGGGACGCCGGGTGATGCTCAGAGCAAGCGGAACCAGCGAGCTTCAATCTCGCTAGCAGACCCGAGGTGCAGTATCCTACTTCCCAGCCCTCTGGGCGAGGGTTGGGAAGGGAGGGCTACAAGTGAAATAGGAAGGTTATGCCAAAGAAAAATAGAATCCAGGAGCCCTAAATTTAGGAGGTGGGTTTCTTAAGGTTCTTCTGGACATCCAGGAAAGGGTATTTTCTGATTGCTGCACGATTGTTTCTTAGTAGGGTGGAGTCGGGGAAATTTAAGTGTCTTCCCAGCCTCGTGAATTCCATTTCTTAAACCTGTAGGATCGTTTCCTTTAAACTTCTTTTCTACTGTTTATGTGATCTTTGCTATCATTTATTGAATTCATTTTGTTTCTGTACCTTAACGTAACGTGAAACTTACAGCCTTTTGAACGCTTTCCTCTCCTTCCCTTTTAAGTCCCTGTAAGGAATATCACAAATTAATTAGAAGCATAAGCTAGAAATTATGCGAGTCATCATTCTTATGATCATTTTGTTTTCTTAATTATATGGAGAGAGGAAAGAATATGGTATACATGCTCATGTCCTTTTTTTTTTTCGTGGTTTGTTCCTCTAAACATATTTGTGGGTTAAATGTTAATATTTTTTCCACTGCTTGAATGATATTTTTGGTAATAATAGACAAAACAAATTGTAGACAAACAACCAAAGAAAATTTTTTTTGAAGTGAATGTTAGTGTTTATTTCTTTGTCCCTGAAATGTATGTTCATACCGTCTGTTATAAAGAAGACCACAATCATGAAGACTACTGAAGTTATGCGAAATGTACAATTTTATTTTGTGCTTATTATTTTACATTATTTTTAATACAAATGAGGAGAACTGGAGATATCAATTCAGTTATAGACTTAGAAGACCAAGAAAGAGCTGAGTTTCTCCCTCAATTTGAAAAACTCGTTGCCAAATTGAGTCAATTCTGACTCATAGTGACCCTATATGACAGAGTAGAACTGCCCCATAGGGTTTCCAAGGCTGTAATCTTTATGGAAGCGAATTGCCATGTCTTTTCTCCGTGGAATGCTGGTGGGTTCAAACTGCATACCTTTCAGTTAGCAGCTGAGCACTTAACCACTGCGCCACCAGGGCTCCTTCTGAAATTGAAAAGAGACATGTAAAAGGACTTTTTAGAATCACAGGTGATAGAAAGACTTAATCATCATTCCTTTGACACCTAAAATGCTCAGGTGGGGATTTACAGTAATGTCCTTTCAGAATAAGGAAAATAATTCAGCCAAAATCTTTGGGAATTCATAATAGTCTAAAGAGAGCTTTGATGATTTATTATGGTAAAATAATGGATTTGCTATTAAATTTTGTTAATTTTTTTTTTCTAGCCAAACAGGGAAGAAGCATGCTCTTTAACTACATGCATAGAACCAGGCATGCAGTTGCTGGGACAGAGTGTTGCAGAGAGCCAGGCCAAATGGCTTGAGTTTGATCCTGGATCTGCCACTGAGTGGCTGTGTCACATTTGGCAAATTACTTAACTCCTCTAAGCCTCAGTTTCCTTATCTATAAAATAGGGATGGTAATAGGACCTACTTTGGTATTGCTGTAAGAATTCAGTAAAATAATATATATAAAAGCTCTTTGCTTGTTGCCTTGTCATGAAGTAACGTTTCAATAAGTTAGTTATTATTATTATTTTTGAGATAAATTTTATTTTCAGGAAATATATTCTGTATCTTTAAAATAAACTGGCAGTAGGTTTTTTTTTTTATGTGACCAAAGCTTGTTCTGATATGTATTACCAAATCCTCATAAAATGCATAAATTTGTCCTGGCAGCATTTTTAGAACAATAATCATAAATATAATAATTATAGTAACAGTCATAATACTCATAAAAGGATGTCAACCTAATATCCATGCAGTTCTATTTAGTACCACAAAAAAAGCTTTGTTTTAGTAGGCCTAGAATAACTAGTAGGTAATTGTTTTATTTGCTTTTTAAAATCTGTAATTTTAACCCCAAAGAATCCAAAAGAAAACTACTGGAACTAATAGAAGATTTCAGCAAAGTTTCAGGATACAAGATAAACATAAAAAATCAGTTGGATTCCTCTACACCAACAAAGAGACCTTCCAAGACGAAATCACCAAATCAATACCATTTACAATAGCCCCGAAGAAGATAAAATACTTAGGAATAAATCTAACCGGATACGTAAAAGACCTATACGATGAAAACTACAAGATGCTACTGCAGGAAACCAAAAGAGACCTGCATAAGTGGAAAAACATAAAGGATAGGAAGACTCAACATTGTGAAAATGTCAGTTCTGCCCAAAGCAATCTACAGATACAATGCAATCCCGATCCAAATTCCAACAGCAGTTTTTAAGGAGATGGAGAAACAAATCCTCAACTTCATATGGAAAGGGAAGAGGCCCTGGATAAATAAAGCATTACTCAAGAAGAAAAACAAAGTGAGAGGCTTCACACTATGTGATTTTAGAACCTATTATACCACCACGGTAGTCAAAACAGCCTGGTACTGGTACAACAACAGATACATAGACTAATGGAACAGAATTGAGAATTTGGACGTAAATTCATCCGCCTATGAGAGCTGATATTTCACAAAGGCCCAAAGTCTGTTCATTGGGGAAAAGGCAGTCTCTTTAACAAATGGTGCTGGCATAACT